TTCGCATTTCCTTATGTTGCCATTTATTTTTTTACAGTATCCCAATCAAACAGATTGAGGTGACTTTCAGTCAGAGAAAATGAGAATCAGAAGGAACAAGACTGCCTACACTCACAAACGATGTTGATTTAGTTGTCAGAGGCCAACTAACACAACACCACCGGAAGTTCTTTTGCACCTTCAATTTTGCACTTTGTGAGACAACCTTTGCAACAGAAGCCATAAGCTCTTTCCTTCAGTAATCTCAGTACCCTACCATAATACTCTTTGAGTTTCAGAGAAGGCTTAGGAATTTAAACTTCAGTAAACTGGTAAGAAAACCAAGAAACACAGTCACACGCCAGTGCTGGACCCACGCATTTGAGATAACAGTGGAGGATTCACAGAAGCTGAAGCCATTTATAACCTTCGCAAGTCCTGGTCTTATAACCTGCCCTCTCCTGCCAATCCCTACGGTTCCCTCTTCCTCTCAGCCAGGACGGTGTGGTTGGCTCTTCTCGCTGGTGCTCCCCGCGACGGAGCGCTATGTGTGCTCTCACGCAGTCACCTGACCGTGTTTTCCTACATCTGTCGTTTCTGCCTCCTTCCTTAGCCCACACTCAGCGCGCAAACACAAGGAAGAGGGAGCTCCATGCGCCCCCAGCCCCCAGCAGCGGCTCGACGCCAACTCGCCCTCCGCGTTCTGAGCCACACTCAGCCGCACCACGTGGCCGACACCTCAGAGGACACGATCGGGGCGTTGCAAGTAAATAAAAACAAGCGCGGTTAAAAATATCAGAGGCTGCAGACGTGTTCTTTATAGAAAAGGGAGAATTAGCAAGGGTCTAGCAGAAAGGCATGGCTGCTAATGCTATTTTAAAAAGAAACAGAAGAAAATCTTCCAACATTTGAAACTATTGAATGAGGCCTTTCCCAGAATTTTAAAGCACATCTGGTCTTCCCCAAGCAAAGGCGCCAGCATCTTTCTGTCTGCCTGTATCAACTTTATCCTGAGGAATTTGGAATAACTGAGTGAATACAATGGAGAAGACAACAGTTTGCAGATTACCTAGAGCTGTCACTTGCCCTTAGTGGCCTTCTCAGAAGAGGACTATACCTGGGGGATCCGGGGGCAATGCCATAGCTGTCCCCTTCTTACAGTCCCATTCTCTGTCCCTCATTTGGGGTGGAGGAGATACAAGCAGAAGCCATTCTTAACCTTCACAACTCCTGCTACTCCATTCCTAGCCTTCACAACACACCCTCCTTTCTTACCATCTCTCTGCTGTCTCTTCCCCTACGACGTCACGCTAGGAAGGCGGGGTTTGGGACACATTTGTTCTCCTGAGGGTGAGATGTGTTCCAGACGTAGCCGGTTAGTGATGGAACACAAATCAGCTCCCGTGATGCGGAGGGTATGGGTTACGGAGCTCAGAGTAGGCTTGATGCTGACCTGTAGGTATGAAATGGCTCCCCCTGCCACAGCTCTAATTTAATTCTGCTGTAGTCTTTTTTATTTTCATCTACTTGTCTAAAACAGAAAATATTGCAAGTTGAATTTATCATAGACTCTGAGTTGTGGAAACAGACCTAGAGATCATCCAGTGTAATATTTCCCCAAATCTGTCTTGCTGAATGCGACTTCTGTCAAGGGCTTTTTGAAATAAACCACAAAGCCAGATAAATTTGGGGAATAGAGTGCGCTGCACTCCCTCTCTGCATCTGAGCAGATTCCTGGATCTGCAGTGTGCTGTGGTAGACACACTATGTTCAACTCACATTCCAGCTTTCCGAGGGGAGCTTTGTGGTCCCTTCCTGGACCACAGGATTTCTGTAGGAAAATGTTTTGAATTTCCCATCTGAGTGTCCACGCACTGCAAACTTCCTAGACATCATTCAATCTTCTCGATAATGGCAGTTAAAAATATGTATGTGATGATCGTACACAAAAACAGGCAGCCCATAAAAGGAACGAGGTCAAAACCTTGCAATTAAAAATGTAAATGTATTCACCCACATCGGCCTAAAGTCACATGTATACTTAAGGCATCATTATAAGGTATTCTTTTCTTTTTTTTTCTTTTTTTTTTTTTTCCCTTTTGGAGGCATAGGGGACTGATTTACATCAAAAGAATTATAAGGCTTTGGGATGGGACTGAAATATTGAACTGCCCTATATAAAGATACAAAATTCACGCTCAAAGGAGTTTTTTTTTTAAGCACAAGCAAAGCTTGTTGCATCTCAGAACTGCTCAAAGGCCCAGGTCAAGGTTGGTATCCTTTGTTACTATTTTTGAAGTGAGACAAATTGCGTTCACCTAGAGAGGATTAAAATGGCAGATTGGTGTAAAACGGAAATCCTTCGAGCCGATACAACAACCCTAAGCTACTGAGAGTCCACATTAAATCAAACATCTGGATGGAAAGACAGAAGTTGAAGCAATTCTCCACACATTTCTGGAACGGATCAGGGACCGCATGTTAAAATGAAACAGATTAGTTGGATTAACCTCCTCCCCCATATTCACTGAATATCTTGGTGTCATATAACCAAGGAGGCAGATGGCCCAAGGCAACATGTTTAGTGTGAGTGTAGAACCGTGCTTTTGATACTCTCATGAAAGCAAGTTATACGTTACTTCAATACCAGTTTTGTTGGAGAAAAATGTTGCAGTACTCAGAGAAGGGCAGGCAGTCATCGTGAAAACCAGGATATTCCCGGCGACATTCAGTGAGAGCGCTGCAGTGGCCACGCGATCTGAGGAGTTAACGCTTGCTTTCCATTGTCTCTGTGTGAATTTTTATTTATTGTTTTTACTTTTTCTTTTTTCCCTTCCAGTACCAGGAATCGAACTCACGACCTTGCGCTTGCCAGGCAGGCGCTGTGCCGCTGAGCTAAATCCCCAGCCCCTGTTTTTACTTTCTTAGCTCTTTTACAATGGCGGTGGGGAAACACTGCATGATAAATACCCTTCCGGCAGGCCTATTTTATGTCTCTTAGCAGAAAAGGGGATGATGTCAGTAGTCAAGGAGAGGGAGGCAAGGCGGCAGCAAAGGAGCCGGCGCTGCACCCTATTATTTATGAGACACTCTGCACACTGTTTTTATTTCAAGCCTGGTGAAAACCAGTGAGGCACAAATCTTTGTCTCTGTTTTATGGGTAAGGAAACTGGAACTCAGAAAAGTTCCAAAACTTGTCTAAAAGCAGGGAGCGAGGAGGTAGCTGCCCTAGGATGTCAAGTTGGGTCTGCCTGTTTTGTCTGCGACACCAAGCCAACTCCCATAGAGAAAGTTGTAGCTTTGCAAACCAAAATAGATGCGGACAGAATGGAAGCGGACTGTTTAAAGAAACAACTGGATTTCACAAGAATAGCAGGCTGTGTTTAAAGCATCACAAATCAAGGACTGCGCCGCCTTGTCAACCCTGAACGAAATGACTTTAATCAACACTTTAATCCTGTGCAAACAGATGCATCCAGAGATATTCAGAGCGGCCTCGGAGGCCTTTGCTTTGCCATCCTCACTGTGGCCACATACCGTTTCCATATTATTCTCCCCAGGCTGCTCAAAATAGAAGGAATTTTTTTATAGGCCCATGAGCATTCTTTCCCATTTTCAGTCTTCAAAAGCCTTAAAGGGCACTGTATGTATGTTTTTCATTTGTACCTGCAGCAGGATACAAAAGTCTGAGCATGAACCCGGCTGGCAGGCCTGATAATTGTATAAATTTGGAATTTGGTCGGCCTCGGCCCATGGTGTTTGTCAAACTGGAAGAGACTGCTTCAGATGGTCTTCTACCCTTGACACTGAAGCATGGGCTGGCTTCCCAGTGATCTATATGACTATGATTTTTGTCTAATTTTCTAAATCTGTATACTTAAATCAGTGAGCAGGGCGGAATAATGAAACTAAAGTGGCATTTTCAAATTTTTCTGCTTCTCAACTATTCCTGGCTCACCGTCATACCTGTTCTGTCTGCTTCAACTGCAAAATGCCCAGTGCTCTAGGTTGGTAACTTTTATCATCTTAAGGGTGAATAAATATTAAAAGAACATGTGTTGGTTTCTTAAATGGTTTTCATTTTCCAAATTTGTAATATAAGAATTAGTTCTGAGGTTTAATGACAAGCTATGAATATAAGAAGAGTAATATCATAGGGAAATAATTATGAAGGTAACTTCTGAATGAGCATCTGGGCCAGACCTTGGAGTTTGCAAGGATTATTTGTCAGTGTCTAACTGAACTACCGTCCAATGTAGAAAACTGTAAATACTGTAGAGGCAGACACACCTATTATGCCCTAGTACCTAGAATGCCCTAGAGAAACTGACAAATGCAGTACAGGAGCAAGAAAACAGGAAGATCTCTATTGTATTGTGGTAGCAGAAGAAGCAATTTCTCAAATCTGAGACGTGACATTGGTAGTGGAGTAATGACAGTTGTGATATTAGACAGGGGTAGAGTTCTAAATGGAACTGAAGAGTGAACATGTGAAAAGTCCAAGAAAAGCTGAGCCTGCCAAAATACTTTCCACTTGTGTTATGGGTTGCATTATGCCCCCTGCCCAATAGTCTTATGTTGAAGCTGTACCCAGAACATGGTGATATTAGAAGACAGGGCCTTTATAGAGATGCTTGAGCTAAAATGAGGCCACTAGGGTGGGGCCCCAATCCAATCCACTTGGTATCATTATAAGGAAATTTGGACACAGATTTCGATGCACAGAAGAAGGACCACTTGAGGACCCAGTGAAAAGGTGGCCACCTGAAAGCCAGGCTCTCAGAAAAACCAAACCTGTTGAGACCTTGGCTTTGGACTTCCTGTGAGAAAACAAATTCCTGTTGTTTAAGCCATCCAGCCTATGGTATTTTGTCATAGCAGCTTGAGAAAACCAATATACTTAGCATACCCTACTGCTTGGAAAACAAGCCAAGCTAAGTGCAATTACAAGTTAGGCCATCAATAAAATCCAGGAACATTTTGGGAAATATTTAATCTGTGCAAAGAGGGTGGGGACTTACCACATCGAAGGCAGTAAACACATGACAGTAGTGGTGATTGGACTTCAAATCTTTTGTGATATAAGCAAATGTTGAGAGGTCTTCTGGGTCCTGGGCAGCACAGGAGATATTACGAATTTCATGCTCAGCGATTATGTTCTGGAAGAAATGACATAAATGACCATTGTTTTCCTTGCAAGCCAGCATATTTTCGGACCAGGACAGGTAGCCCAGGAAGCAGTTGCTTTCCTTCTTTCTAGCGGGTTCATGACTCGCAAAACATTCAAAGGATCCGAGGCCCTACGCCAGGTCTGCAGAGAATGTTTCCATTTAATAAAAAAACAACCTAACATAGTCACACACTCGAGCTGCGGCTCTCAGCTGGCGCTGTGCGTGGAAGCAGTCTGGGTAGTAGACACTTTCTACAATCACGGTAATTACTAAGCATTTTGTTCCTTCTAGTCCCCATGCCCACCCACAGGTAGGCAGCATGGCTGTGCCTCCTGCTCATTCACTGGAGGGGTCACCTGTCACTTCCTATGTGGGATGAACTGTGAGTCAAGGAGCCTCTCCCAATCCCCATGGTTGGACGTGTTCAGTTTAAACACTTCCATCAGAGCTGGGGATCGAACCCAGGACCTCATGCATCCTGGGCAAGTGTGCTGCCCCTGAGCTGCACTCCGAGCCACCGCCCTCGGTTCTTGTACACTCCCCTATCCCCCCAGAGCAAAGGCAGGTACAGGACAAAGCAGGCAGCCAGCCGCATCAGGTGTGCCCTCTCTTCAAGGTTCTGGGCAGGGTAACTGAGGCAGGAAGGGGGAAGGGCCATGCTGCAATGTTCAAGCCACGGCCACTTGCTAGGTACAGGGTCCTATGGATATGATAAGACTTTCCTCATGCTAGGGACAGCGCATAGGTACGGGGAGGGTGTGGCTGTTACTACCAGCATCTTACAGGAGAGGAAACGGCCTCCTAGAGTTCGCATGCCTCACGCAGGCAAGGTGGGAGGGGGCTGAAGTCCGAGGTTATCTGTAGAGCTCAGACTCTCACCCACTCCTCTCTCTTCCTGGTTTATCAGAATGGCATTTTCCCCCCATAGCATTTCTCAATGCCTTCCACCCTACCCCAGCCCAGACCACCCTGGAGAGCAACTTGTGGCAGAAGGGTTTAGCACCACTGTCGTGAAGCACGGGATTTCCACAGAGCATGATCTGGGCTGCAAAACCTGCTAGCAACTTCTTCTGACACACAGATGTACTTAACACGCAAAAGGTGTCTCCTTATAGTGAGATCACTTTTATCTGATAATATCACACTTGTGTTTTTTGCAGATGTCATAGACCTACACCCCTCAATGCTTTATTTACCCTAATTGCTCCTTAACTAAACAGTTTTGAAGAATCTGTTGGCAAAATAGTATTCTCTGTCCACCCCTCAGTGTCTAAAAATGCTTGCAGAATGTCCTCCCCCACCAGCACCCGCAGCAAGTACTTCATGTCCCTCAGGCTACCAATCTGTGTGCCTGGGAAGCAGTTACAGAATTAACACATAAAAGAAAATTAAATTAAGATATTCTTCATGGTGGCCTTGTATGCTGACAGTACAGGCAGCTGCTCTGTCAAGAATTACCCACACTGAAATTGGAATCCCATAAACAAGTAACGTTCCATTGTAAGATGAGGTTTCGGAAAGTATTTCTTCAAGTAGAAAGGTAAATGAGGAACTACTGGGTCTTCAGAGGAACCTGAAGATCTGTGGTCGCTAAGGTGTGTTAGCAGGTGCAGAGAGTCTCCCCGTCACGGGCCTGGGGCCTGCTGCTAAGCCTGGGTGGCCCCATGTCACAGGAAATACAGCAGCGTCTCTACCTTTTAACTAAATTGGCATTTTGTGTTCTTGAGATCTTTTGCCAGCATGAGCTCGATCAACTTGGGGAAGTGTTACACTGATGTGTCCTGTACTTTCATTTTTTAAAGGATTTTTTTGATTTGGGGATTGAAGAGGGCCTTGGCGCTGCTCCTCAGTTACTATCTAGATAGCATCAGGGCTGGGGATTTAGCTCAGCGGCACAGCACCTGCCTGGCAAGTACAAGGTCATGAGTTCGATTCCCGGTACCGGAAAAAAACAAAACAAAACAGATAGCATCTCGATGTTGCCCGGGTTGGGCTTGAAGTTGGACTCCTCCTGCCTCAGCCTTGCGGAGTGCTGGGATTACAAGTGTGCCACCATGCCTGGCTGCACTGAGTTCCCTTGCCTATTTACTGGATGTCATTCTTGATGATTTTCAGTACCGTGTGGCAGGGTTGTGTCCCTGGGCAAAACTGCAATGCTGGTCAAGTGGATCTTTGGAGCTCTCTCTTCCTGCGTCTTTCCTGACTTTCCTGACAACATTTTGAAGCCCTCTCCCTTCTTCTCCTAGGAGCCCAGGCTTTTAATGGCCAGACAGCCTTCTCTTCCACTTTTATCTGAAACTATGATCCCTCTGTTCCCCCAGCCTAAGCCAGATGGAAAGCAGGCTGGTAGAATATTCTCCACTCAGTAATGCATTCATATGCCATTGCAGTACATCCTAGGTGCCAGAACGTGGCCAGGGCAAGGACCCCGCTGTGCAATGCTGCTTCTTTCTCCTGGCCCAGCTGTGCAGAATGGGTGCGCACAGGTCCCCACAGGGATGAACCCAAGGCCAGGGACGTGCAGTCTGTACCTCCTCCTTTCCCAGCATGCTCTAAGGAGACTACAGCTTTACAAAGGCTCAAGAGAAGGCCTGGGAGCGTTTCACCTGCCTCTGTTTTGGATGGTCGGTTTGGCGGCTTAGTGCCTTTCCATCGGGAGACATCTTTCATCCAACTTATCTCTCACCGTGTTGAGAGGCAGCTGAAGACATGCTGGACGGTGGGTGAACAGAATTGGTTGGGCCAGTCAATCACTCTGGCGCTTCTGAGAAGGGCTGAGACGCCCGGAGGATGCAGCCTAGAAATCTGCCTCTGGCTACTCCTGCAATCAGAGTCCAGGGCTCGCTCTGAGCTTGAAACACTGCAGCTCTCCCAGGGAGGGCGCCAGGCTGGAGGCAGCAGCCCTGGCCCCTGGGCTCCGTGGTGTTGACCTGCAGGGGCCCTGATGCTGAGGACATCAGCACACGGATGTGCTTTCAATGGACTCCAAGCACCTTGGAAGAAGTTTGTGCTATAAAAACCAGTGGGCACTTGTGTAGGCCAGTACTCTGACTTGTTTTGTGTCTAAAAAATAGCACCCATCATGTTTGATGTTGGGATTAAGAGGAAAAAAAAAAAGAAAAAGAAAAACAAGCAAAGCAAAAAACAAACGCTGGCCCTGCACTGTTCCCAATTTAGCCAGATGGGAGACGGAGCGGGAGTCAGCACTGCCAGGCAAAATGGAACTCAGTCCGCAGTGTCGCTGCGTGTGGGAACTGGGTCGTCTCTGGGAAGACCCGGCTGAGTGGGAAAAGGGTCTGCAATCGGGTAGTCTCAGCCCTCCAGCCAAGTTCTCCGCTGGAGCTACCTCTGGGCTGTGAGTCTACCGAAAGCTGTTGTGAGGCCTCTAAAACAGTTTAGAACTAAATCTATTCCCAGTTCCATTTTTAAATCAAGATTCCTTTCTGCTTCTTCCTTCTTAAATCAGGATTAGTGATTCGTTTCCAAAGTTGCTAGGCAATACATTTATAACCGTGCACCTAACCCTTCCCCGTGAGCTCAGCCAGAGCGATGTACTCATCAGAATAAAAGGAAAGAAATGCTTCCCTGGAGGGTTCATCTTTCACACAGCCTAATGGGGGCTAACAGGAGGGAAGGGCAATTAACACACAATTAATTATCCATTCTACTTCAAACTACTTGGAGGAAGGTAGCTGCGGAGGAACAGAAGCAGCGTTAGGTTTGCGAGTGGGAACATGCAGTTTTAGTCTGTCTGCAAGACCAACGGGCTGTGCGACTGCACGGAAGCCCTGAGCCAAAGGACCTCTGAGGAGCCTTAGGTCCTCAGCCGTCTGGCCTGGACCACGAAGCCCCCTTTGTCTTACTAGGGGTGGGGAAGAGGATGCATGGTTAGGAGAGCCCTGAGAAGGAATACAACGCAATGAAAAACAAAACAAGAACAGTAAGTAAGTCAGGCTGTGCCTTAGTACAGGCATGGTGGCCACTGGACTGGAAACGGTGAGATCTTCAAATATGCTTGCATTTCACAAATCCTTCCCTTTCAATCACAGTGGCGCACCAAGACTCCAGCAGCACAAGGACTCAGGACTGTACCAGTCTGCTCTTCCTGTGGTCTTTGCTACAGCATGAAGTGGCACCTGAAGCTGCCGCTGCGGTGGGCACTGCCAGGGCCCAGGAGTCTGTGCACCGTCTCTCTCAAACCACAGCTGCCAGATGCACTGCTGAGACCCGCCCTTCAGCCTTGTCTGGCGGCCCTGCTTTCCAGCCTTCTGCAGTAGAATCCCACCCAGGCAGCTTCTGCTATTTCTTTCTTCTGCCCCTCTACACACAATCTTTCTGCTTCTACTTCCCACATAGCAACTGCTAGATGCTGCCCTGGTCACCCAGTTTCTCTCCTGAATGTCACGTTGCGGAATGCTCCTGAATGCTACACAGCCAGAGGTAGGCAAGTTCCTCAAACGCCTGAGAGAGCCAGGCACATGCTGCTCTCCATCACAGAGAAGCTGGCACTACCTGCCACCAACAACTGTGCTCTGAAAATATGCAGAGGACCACAGTGCAAGGAACTGAAAGATACACTCTCCCTTCTTTGCTTATGTCCTCATTTACACAAATCGTCTTTTGCATATCTTTCTCTGCTGATGCTTCCGAAGGGTAGTCACTGGTGAGCAGAGATCTGTGGATAACTCATCTAATTACTGGTGATTGAGTCAGAAATGTCTCCCTGAGGTACAGCAGCATCAACTTCTACGTTCTTCAATGTGTCAGCGAGCGAAACGCAGCGGACCTGCCAGGGCTCTCCCTCCTGGCTCTGATGGTGGAGAGTGGGTCAGAGAGGATGCTAATAATACAGAGGCAACCAGTCGGGCCACCACTGGGTGACAGCTTTTGGACTGCAGGAACTTCCCAGGGCAAACACCCTTTGTTTAGAAACTGTCAGAACCCAAGTTGGCTAACTGAGTGTCAAACACATCCCCTGAGAATGCACTGCTCTTCAAGTTTTTCAAATGCAAATGTTGCATAGGCATCTGCTCCAGGTTACGGGAAGAACCCAAGTGCTAAGACCTTCTTTTAAATTTAGATATAGCAGACAGCAACAATATATTCAGTAAGCATTCCACAAAGGTTTGGAACTTCTTAAACAACTGACTATAATTTAAGGATAAGGTAATTTTATGTACCAGGAACTGAAGTTGATGGGGATTTAGCTCAGCGGCACAGCGCCTGCCTGGCAAGCGTGACGTCGTGAGTTCGATTCCCAGTATTGGGAGTGGGGGAAAAAAAAAAAGGAACTGAAGTTGTCTCCAAGGGGGGGAGGGAAACAACAAATTAATTGGGATTGTTCTGATTTGAGTCTCGACAATTGTACTTTGACAACAGAACAACATCATTCCATTCCAGTCATTTCGCTCTGAGGATGATTTTGCTGAAGCAACACTCTTCCCATGGAAAATCAACCAGGAAAACTTCTCACTGTTTGATGCCCATCTCAGGTTCGTTACAGACAGCAAACAGTCAAGGCGCGTGGCACTCGTCCCTGGTATCTAGGTCCAGTTCCTCTGGCCCTAAGTTCCCACGGCTGACGTCCCCTCGCTCGAGTGGGTCTGCACAGGCAGTCCAGAAAACAAATGCCATTCACTGCGGTGCACACCTCCTTTCTCTTCTTTGGTACTTGACGAGTGAGAAGGAAGAGGGAACAAAACATTGGCTCTTTGGGGACAGCAGTCACACCTGAGCTTTCTAGTTCAGCAGTGGGAATCTGTGATCTCTGCCCAGAAAAACCCTCTGGAACAGTCTCCAGGTAAAACCCAGCCCAGTCGCTCAGAGCTGCAAACTGTACCCACTGTGAGCACAAAGACACCGCGCGGCCTGATCTTCTTGGCTGATTGTGTCTCTGAAGAAAACAAGCAGCCGAAATTCTCTTCCATCTCAGTAGCGGGGAACGAATACAGAAAGTCAGAGGATGTTCCCAGCGTCCAGCATTCATTGCGTGTACAAAGGAAAGGACGTGTGCATCTCTAGAGAAATGGAAGGACTGCTCAAGTTCTTCATCGAGTAACATTTCCTCTCGCAGGGAAATGATGACACTGCTGTCTTTTCATTTGGCTACAACTATTTTTTCCCCCCTCTCAGTGTTCTCTAGATTCAAAGGAACCTGTCAGGTAAGTGGCCACGATCTGTGAGAGAAGGCATTGTGGAAAAGCGACAGCAAAAGTCTTTACAGCCATCTCAGACCCAGACCCCTAATCAACTTGCCTTTCTCTGTGTGTGCGTGTGCGTGTGTGTGCGTGCGTGTGCAGTTACAGTTCTGAGCACAAGGCATGAAGTGTGGGGGGGGTATGGAGCGATTCCGATGAGAACACTGGGACTTTAGATCACACACTCAGAACAGCACCTGATGTTTACAACAAAGAGAGGTGTCGTGCCTACCTTATTTGTTGCATCAATAAATTTGACTCCTTTATATGAGACGGAAAGAATAATAGTAGGGACCTTCTTCATTTGCTCTGTAGACTTCTGAAAGTAAAACGAGAAAGCTGTTAGCGCAGGGGGCGTTGCATGGCAACTGAAGCACATCATTCTTCTTGAGAGATAAACATGAGCTCAAGTTAAACACAGCACACATACCCAAGCACACCCAAACACAGTCTAACTTCAGTGGTTGTCTCTCTTCTCTTGGGCTTTTCTCTTGGGTCTGAGAAGTGTTTGCCCTGAAGCTTCCTGTGAACTCCTTCTCCTCACCCCCAGTGGGAGTATGAAGAGCTCTTTCTCTCCCTCAGACAACTCCAGGGGTGCACTCAGCACTAACACAATCCATGTAACCACTACCTCCCTTTTCCCAAGTCACACAGGATGTTTGGATATGTACCTAAGACAATAATTTTTTTTCCAATTTTTTCTCACTATGTAGCCTAGGATACTCCTGAACTCCTGGCAATCCTCCTGCCTCAGCCTCCTGAATGCTGGGATTACAGGTGTGCTCCATCAGGCCCAGCGAGGATGGGCATTTAAGGTACATCGCTGTGAATTTTTCTTGAACCTGGCCAAACTCACAGAAGCTGATAGTATATTTATAGCAGGATCACATGTGACCATACAGGGTATAATACTGCTCTATCCTAGCAAAGCCTGCAGGAGCAGTTGTATTTTGAGCCACAGCAAAGGCAGAACGCTGGGCAGTCCAGGTAACCTACTTTACCATGAGAGCTGCTGTCTTCCCTTAGGCTAGGTTCTTATGATAGACGCTCAACCTGGCTTAATGTGCAGCTTCATGCATCTGCACAAAGCTTCTCCGTAATTTAGGATGTGCCTTTTCTGGTTAGTTTCGTCATGCATCATCAGCCACCAGCAGCCGGTTTACTGCAGTCTCCTCCACGAGTTCCCTTAACGATCACGGGAAACATCAGGGAGAACCTACCTGACAGTTAGCCTGATGGATTTTCCGGATAAGGCAGGTGGCGACGTAACAGGAGAGAAAGCACATGGAAAGGTGAGAGGGAGAAAACCATTTCAGTAACTCACCAACAGCATAAATTAATTAAAAAGTAAACTACGCCACCACAGGATAGGTTTTAGAGATGCACGCAGATTCGCCCAGACTGTCATTTTAGAGATTGCTGCAGGCTTTCGCAGGCTCCATCTCTTTTTTCTGTTCTCTCAGCATTCTGTTTACCACGCCGCACGGTCTCAGCTCTGACACGCAGGAACTGTCTGCTTTGAGATTTCGACAACTAGGTGTCTTATGTATATTAAAGGAACCCGGAATGAAATATGAACTTTCTTGATTTCTTCATTTGTACCACCCAATGTTCCATTTTTAAATTGGGAAATGTGATCAGAATACAAGAAGGGTTTTAAGGGGATGGTGAGTGAAACTCGTTCAACGCAATAATGAAAACTATTGGCAGCGTTTGCCTGACTCGGGAAAGGGTATGTCACATCGATCTGATTGTTTTGAGATCTCTTTCCGAGAGCTACCATGCCTGTTTCAAAGACAAAGACATTTCCTAAGAGTATTATTTGATATTGTTTCATTCAGGATGGGAAAAAACTCACTTGAGGTATTTTACTGGTTTTAAAATGACCTAGAATTGCCCATTTTCTTTTGCAGTTGCCAAAGAGATATTATGAAAATTATGAATATAAGGTCACAAACTTTCATCTTTTTACTGCTACTCTCAACCACTTCTTGAAAATGTGTAAGACAGATCAACCGAAAGGCCAGAATAACATGCTCTGTGTGTGTTCGAGTGCATGCGTGTGTGTGTGTGTGTGTGTGTGTGTCTGTCTGTCTGTGCATTTGGTTTGTTTTTGAGGCAGATTCTTGCTATGTAGCTCAGGCTGGGTTTGAACTTCCAGTGACCCTCCTGCCTCAGGCTCCCAAGTGCTGGGATTACAAGTGCATCAAGATGCCAGGCAGTATGCTAGTTTTAAGGCAAAGCAGAGGCCAGATTCTGTCTATTCTGGGCGGCACAGGCAAGGGTCTGGTTAACTGTACGAAAAGAACTCTTCAGAAAACAACAGATTTCACCAAACTGCCTCGCTGATCTCTTGCCATGCATATACTCTCCCGGACAGATCTATCCGGAACACGAAACAGTATGTAGCTACCATTAGAATCACATTACCAAGGTGCTATCCTTAAGAAAAACCCATTTATTATTTGTTCAGCTGCTGAGTGGTAATTTTGGGCAGCCACTGTGCCCATCACAGGAAAAGTCCGGTGATGGCACCAGAGAACCTCAAAGTGGGCGCAGAGAAGGACTCAGTGGGCAAGAGGGCAGGGGAGTGAGAGGGCAGTGCAGAAGCCCCCCAGGTGTCCCTGGCCCGGTCGGGTAGAAAGGATGCTCGGTGGAAAGTTGGCAGATGCACCCGCAGAGTCAGGAACAGGGCCAACAGGGAGAGTCGCACTTCGCACGAGAGAGCAGGGCAAGACCTCATTCATTCCTTTTCCGTTTATTCACCAAACCCCATGGCCTGCCAGCAGCGACTGAGCTGGCTCTGGCAGCGTGAGTAGGAATCCCCAAGAGGCCAAAGAGGATAACAAAGGGCCGCTGTGGGAGCACAGCGCCCTCCCCACGTCCACGTGTGCCCCTGTAAGTGAGGAACGATCCGGAGGTTTGGAGTAACTGGTCGGAAAGGAGTGCAGACAACCGAGGCTTTGGAAGGCTATGACTGCGAAGTGAAGACACAACCAGACCCGCGGTGCAGGAAGTGAGTCTGGGGCTGTAAGGAGGGAGGCAGGACGATGCTGTGCAAACTCAAAGGAGAGACCCGAAGCAGCGCTGCCCCGGCAGGGGCTGTGGTACCCGTGAGAAAGAACCCAGGGCCTGCTGCGGACCCGCCGAGGGCCTGGCGGGGGAGTCTCCCGTGAGGCAGCCGCAGCCCAGGCAGCAGCACTGAATGTGCTTCTGCAGCGGCACCGTGGAGATGCTCTTCCCGAGCTCAGAGCGAGTCGGATCTGGAAATCCACAGAGGGGCAGCTGAGGAGCAGGGAGCCAGCGAGGGGCTCAAGGAGGAGCAAGAACCCGGCTGGGTCCTTGCCCCAGTGGGGGAGTCCTTCTGAAGAGACTGGCATCCGAGGGACCTGGGCTGAATGACAGGACCGCGGCTGGCGCTGGAAGATGCCCGCAGAAGCCAGGGAGGGGATGGCTTAGAGGGGGTGGGGGTGTCTGATGTCCCAAGGACAGAAACAAGTCTAAAACCCACACCGAGCGCCAGGGCTGGCACTCGCAGGAGCTGGTACTTTTATGGGGCTTCCTAGGTGACACCCTGGCTTCAGCAACAGGGCAGGTTTGCTGCTGATCGTGTTGAGAGCAGCTTCAGGAGGACGAGGGCAGCAGACAAGGAGGAACTCGGTGCGGTGCAGCGAGGGTCCGAGGGAGGAGCCAGGAGCTGGTGCAAGGGACAGGTCAGGGCGCAGGCTCTCGGGCCAAGTGAGGGTGTCACGGTGCTTGCTGCAGAGTCCACGGCAGATACTATGCCAAGCCGAACAAAACCAAGAAAAGACACAAGATGTTCATTTCTTTCAGGGGTCCCAAGACCCCATTCTCACCGAACTGGAGGCGGCACCGGGTGTCCACAGCGCAGGCTGTGCCCAGCCTCCGTGAGCAGCAGTGCTGGGTGCCATGTACTCCAAGCTGGGGCCCAAACTGCACTTCTGTTTCCACTGCATCCTTGGACCTGGCTGGTCACAGAGTTCAAGGGCACTGTGGGGGGTCTTCAAGGCCAGGCTCCTCCTGCAAAGCAATTATTCTCTACAAGAGAGAGCAATCGGCCTCTTTTAGGGGATTTTCTGAGAGTGTGCTTTGACAGTGCTTTCAAAGACGTGGTTTTGTACATAATTTTAATGAAAGATGAGCATGCATAGAAAGAAGGCAAATATGCTGAGTCTTCAGGGAGCCTAATCAGGGAAGCAAGAGATCCAGGAAGCACCTGCTTCATTTCGTGAAGGCTTTGCAGGTGTGGAAACGTGAGCACGGCGCTTCAGTCCAAGCGCAGGGTGTGTCAAAGTCCCATCTTTCCATTCGCACTCCAGGGTTAGAGTCACCATTCTCCTCCTCTCCTGGATGGGGGCCCCTACCCCAGACAACTCTGCTCAGGCTGGCAAGCACCTGCCATGAGGCGCACTGGTTTCTGTGACCTGTCTCGTGCTCTGCCGGGAGTCATGCAATTAAGACTCCTTATGCTTATGTTATGATCCTGGCCGTATTTGTAGAAATGGAATTCTCATTTCCCCAGTAAAACCCTCAGGAGAAGCCTTATAGTTCGTTTTGGTTTCTAGTAGCTTTTCCCTACCCTATGCTCTCTGTGGAATGTTTGAGGGTTTCCAAAGTCTTTAAATTCCCTCCCCTTGGGTGCCCTATTTAGAAAGAGGCTAGTTTGTAATGAGGAACTCTGTGTACCGAAGCAGCTGAATGCTCAGGGGTGAGGTCCCAGGTTAACCTTCACAGAGAGCGTTCTAGTCATATTCACCTGCATTTTGTTCATCATTTCCCAAGTTAAGATTATTGCCTTTTATTGTGCCAAGACAAACAGTATTTAGTTTTGTAGTTACATTTTGGAAACTTAAAATACGACTTTCGAATCTTAACTTCAAAGGCAGCTTTATATTTAGCTCGAGTCTATACTTTTTTAAATCACTAAACAAAACCGAATCATAATTCCATACCGAGAGGTGACCGCCAGAAATACTCTCCATAATGAATAATTGAACAGTAGGTAACTTTTTAAAAATAAGGATTTCTAGATCAACTTAGAAAAAGAGATAATGATTTTTCTTCTTTTTTCTTTTAAATTATACATAAGGAATCTGCTTGGTTATCAGGTCAGACCACTCTGGATGCTTTTATCTTAGCCTTAAGTGTGTCCTGGAAATAAAATATTTGACCCTCAGTATTGTCAACCAAGCCCAGGGCCCCTCCACACTGACCAGACTCTGGGGATTTTCAAGTCTCATATAAGAGGGCGTAATAGTTGCTGATAACCTATGTACACACTCTTGCATATTTTAAATCATCTCTAGATTACAGCCTGTATCATATGCAGGCTATGGGAGTAGTTGTTACACTCTATTGTTTAGGGAATCACAAATAAAAGCATGCATGTTCAGGTCAGGGGCTTTTTTCCCCAATATTTTCCATCTGCAGTGGGTTGCATCTGAGGAGGCAAAGCCGGTGCAGTCGGAGGGCTGACCGCAGTATTTCATTTTCAGAGTCAAGGGCACGCGGGTGTCCTTTTCCGAGCGTGTGGACTCCGACCTCAGAGCACGGCCTCCCCAAGTGTGAATGAGGGCAAAGCGGTGCACAGGGGAGAGCACCGCAGCTGTGGGCTGCTGTGATGAGTGCGAGTCTGGAGGGATCAAAAAATATGGTAAATGTTGACTTCTTCTGTAGTGGCAATAAAAGACACATTGCCAAGAACAACAGGATGAGTATTTGAAGCACAGGGCAGTATTGTGAAGGAGATTCATGACAATGTATCTTTTACTGTAAAAACATTTAAAAATTTAAACATTCACCATATTTCAGATCATACTGTGCATGTTCTTAGTAAGAATCCTTTGTGGGCTGGGGATTTAGCTCAGCTGCAAAGCGCCTGCCTGGCAAGCGCAAGGTCATGAGTTCGGTTCCTGGTACTGGAGAAAAACTAAAGACTCCTTTGTGTCTCCTCAGCAGCAGAGAGGCCGGGGAGTGAGCCAGGAGAGGGATTGGCCCGGAGCTTTTTCCAACACCTCGATCACTTGCCATGCATCTGAAGCATAGACCAGGGAAGGGATTCCGCACGGCTACCCGGGGATGCTTTCTAGTTAGATATTCAGGGCTGAGTCATAACTATTAATTTTGCCATACAGTATTTTCCTTAGTTACAATGCTTAATTATTATATTCAGTTTCAGCAAGTAAATTAAAATAGGATCAAACAATTATGT